CAGGAGACAGCAGCACTGCAGAGATGAGGACTGTCAGCTTTTTGAAATTTCACTCCTATAAATGCCTTTCCACGACAGAATGTCATGACATGACTATGACATTACAGGTTTTGTGCTTTGAAGTGATTGGTTACATGTCAATGGAACAGCCTTTGAGCTTTAAGTTATCTGATGTGATGCCATCACAAGCTTTTCTTTTGATGTGTGTTTATTGGAAGTATTGCAAAATAGTTGATTATATAATTATAAAATAATAATTGTCCAGAAATAGGCTTTTAAAGGCTTTTATTTTTTGGTATATGCTGAATTAACAGTATAAGAGCCTCTCTACCAGAGTATTACTAAAAAAATAAAGCAAAATAAAACGTTTAAATGAAAACATAAGGTTTAATAAATGCTTGTCAAAACAAAAAAACCTAACCAAAGTAGAAGACGACTGTTTAGCAGAAAAAAGGTCAGGAACAGCGCCTCCTGGTGGCAAAGCAGCAGCTCATCAACTCTCAGAGCCAGAGGCCAACGGCGTACGACCACATACAGCCACGAGTCAACACAGGGTTAAAGGAGACTTCATCCCCGTCGTTAGCACGACCCAAAATTGAGTTCTGCAGCGTCTTCAGAGCTTCTCCACCGTCACGCTCCACGAATGCATATTTTCTTCCTCTCTGTTTAACTTTTACCGTCTTACCTCTGTGAATTCATCCCCTGCAGGTACGAGGAGGGCGGGGGGAGGAGGGCGACCTTCGACTAGCCTGCTGCCTTGCTATGGGTACAGTCTGCTGGAAGAGGCCAGAGCAGATATCTGCAACCTGTGAGTATGAATGGGAATCAATGAAATGGTAGTGATTCAGATTCCTTATGCTGGCTCACCAGCATCACTATATTACTCTGGGTTCTTGGCTAGCTTAGCGTTAGCATGCTGTCTGTGCAGGTGCTTACAAAGAGCCGAAGTTGTGTTAGCAGCATAATGCAGCTGTTTTTGTCCAGGATGCACGAGCGCAAAACCCGATAAGCTGGATCATCGATGGGCAAGCGAATAACCATTCCAAACAGTCGGACTACTGGGAACCAGTTCTGTACAAGAACCAGTTCTTAATTTCTATCCTTACCTATGAGTCACACTGAGCTTATTTAAGGATATCATTTAAGGTAGTATTTTACGTCAGTTATTGAAACTACTCACAAATATTTATCGTGTCTTCTGAGCTCTGATCGGCACTGAAACAGGAAGATAATCTCCACAGAGTTTTCTCATGAGAATTTATAAATGACACTGAGAACACAGTTTTTGTAGTTTTGCCTCTTTATTCACGCTGTGAGTGAAGTGCAGACTCCCAGTTCTAACGGGAGGGGTTTAAATAAGGTTGTGACACACACAGTCCTTCATTTTCAGAGGCTCAGGAGCAGTGGTGGTCCTAGCCTGTTTGGCGCCCTGGGCGAAGACTCCCTCTGGCGCCATCGGGTGAGGAAGCTGAAATGTCACAGATTCTGATGCATCGGGTCCACGCTTTGTGTTTATGTCTTTGTGTGGAATCTGTTTATCTGCTCTCATGTGCTATTTTGACTGTTGGTGGTTTTTGAAATGAAAGCTTTAACCTGAGATTCTGCCGTTTCTGGCAAAATACATTTATATTAAAAAAATCGATTCAGGATTTTAATGAATCAATATCGAGTTATTAAAGCTAGAATCTATTTTAATCGGAAAATCGATAATTGAAACCCAGCCCTACACCTGAGCTTTACCATGAGTCCTTACCTAGAGGCCTCCAGGTGTTGGCCTCCAGGTGTTGGCCTCCAGGTGTTGGCCTCCAGGTGTTGGCCTCCAGGTGTTGGCCTCCAGGTGTTGGCAGGCTATGCTAACAGGACCGTCCTTTCCCCAACAGAATCCGGTTCACAGTGATGAGCAAGCCTCCAGAGGAAGAGGAGCAGGAGAGGGAGTGTGAGGATGTGGGCGTGGCCTCCCTGAGGATCCCTGACATCCTTTAGAAACGGCGAGACATGACGGAGGAGCGTTTGAACGGTCAGCACGCACCGAAAAGATAACTACTTACTGATCAATCAGTAATCTGTGGCTGGTTTAAAAGAAGCTGCAGCAGGTGTTTGTGTAGTCTCAGCCGTGTTTCAGCTTTTAGTTCATGCTTAACATCAGGAGCTTGTCATCAGTGATGTGAGTAAACAAAGGTCAGCGATTAGCTAATGAACCTTCTAACGATGGCGTCAGTGAGCAAACAGACATCAGGTGCACCTGAATGCACGTGATGTCCTCTGTTTTTGCAGGTTCACAGATGTTTCTGCAAAAAGCCTGGAAGACAAAACTGAGACATGAACACACTGCAGGTCCACCTCAGATTTAGACCTGCAGCCGTGTGTGTGTTTTAAACCTGTGAATAAAGAGGACTGTTCTGAAGTCTGGTGTGAGTCTGTGGCTCTGTAAATATAATTTATCGTTCGTTCTGAGTTTCAGCAGCTTCACACTCTTCTGCAGTTTTGCTGTTTGTGCGTGGGAAATAAAACGTGCCTTAAATTGTATCTTTCCTGTACAAACATTTATATTTTGTGCTCTAACAAAGAGAACATGTGTCTGCAAGTGTGGCTTAGAAATAAATAAATAAATCATCATGTTTCTATTTTTGTCACTGGCTGTCATTTACGGATTTCAAATATTATTATTGTTATTTTATTTTTTTGTGTTCACAAGTTTACCCGTACTCACACAGGGCATGTGAGTGTGTGTACGACGTTGAAAAAATCAACTCACTCACAAAACGGTGTCTAATTTATACTATATTAGGGGAAAAAAGACAGTTTGGAAATTTATGACAAATATCTGTAAAATTCTTTTGGAAAGTCTAAACATTTTAAGTCAAGGAGTAAGATCTATGTATTTTACTTTCAAGGTTATAATGGAAAATGTAGACATTTGAACTGCTAGTAGAAATAATTAGTAAATATAGTTTTATAGAACACCCACAAATTAAGGCTGACAACAAGCTACAAGCTCATCTGCTGCTCACTGCGAGAATAGTGTGCAGGGACCATCTACAAAGTGCAACACCCAAATATGTAAAACATGCATATTCAGCAATAACCATGGTGCCTTGTAGTGTTACCACTGCACTGGGGTTTTCAGACTAAAAAGTCTGAATTTTACCTCACTTTCCTTAGCCCGGCCCATGGCTTCAGCTGCAACATAAAAGTGACTGGGGAATTTCAAGACGTACATCATAGACCTTTCTTATGCTACAAAGCGCAGGTCCTTTTAAAAGATGCCAAACGGCTCTTAAAGAATAAGGAAATTTTGAGAAAATGTCCTACAATCCTTTGGCATTCAATAAATTCATATTTTAAAACACCCCTGTGGAAACGTTAAGAGTTCACAGATTGTCCAGCAGGGGGCACCGTTACATTTAAATGTGATTTAGAGCGCTTCACCAATCAGAAGGGAGTTTTTCCAAGCAGGTCGCTGCTGGGATCTGATCACCGCCTGACTGGGTCAGGCCATGTAATGTTTGAAAACCTGCCCTCCTTCAAGAGATGTTTTATCTACAATTATAGCAATCTATAATTTTTTTCTTTTCTTTTTTAATGACATCGGACCCATGATTTTATACGAGCGATCTTTATGACGCACATTTCCACGAAATTAAAGTTAAGCTATATATGTCTAAGTAAGTGACTCGCGGTCGTCTTTAAAGCTCCAGAAGCCACTTATCAGTAAAATTTTTCTTGGTTTGGGTGGTGCTCCTTCCCCGTGTGTTTGTTTGTTTTGGAGGTAATCAGTTTAGTACACTTTATGGTTATTTTCTTTTAACCAGTTAAACCCTGCCCACTGCTCACATTTAGAGCAGTCTACAGACTCAACTTTTGATTCACAGAGATTAAGCCTATATACACCAGCCTCATTATGTAATACTTTGGACATTGTTACGTGCCAAGGGGTGTGGCTTTGCTTTTGTGCTCTGTTTTGTGTTCTGTTTATCTTTCAGGCGTCAGGCCTCCTCTGATTGGCCAGTTCGAAGTTGATTGGCAGGTGTCTATTGGCTGGTCTGGGCTCAGTTGGCCAATCACACTCCAAGGAACACTACAAATGAGCCGCTCCCTGGCCAGCTGGGGTTGCTGGCTTCTGCTTTGACAAACATTTGCGAACAGGCTTCTTTATGTTGTGTGTGGTGGGAGGCTGGACAGGTAAGCCGGGGTACCCTATACATTGGTTGTAGATTTTACTCTGTTAGTCACACTAGGTTATGCGGTTGATGCCACCCTTGTATGTTTTCACTGACTTTTATCGAGTAGCTAGGTAGGCCTTTTGTTTTGCACTTTTCTTTCAGTTAGGCTAGGCCCTGGAAGCTACCAACCTCTTGTTTTATTACTTTCTTTGATTTGGATCAACCGCCCAGTCCTCCCCCCCTGCCTGCCTTTTATCATGCTTTAGCAGAACAAACTATACTAAAACAGGAAAAGAATAGTTCTGCATTGAGATTTGGAAGAAATCATTTAAATTATTTTCCAGAAGTTACCTGGAAAATTAACAATGATAGCAGATTTCACAGAAGGATAGGGAAAAGACCAAACTAAAGTCATTGTTAGATGTAAATAGATTTCTCTGAACAGTCAGAGTTTGGGTTATTCGATTTTAATCAAGATTGACAAATATTCATGTACCATAATTCCCGGACTACAGAGCGCACCTGATTAAAAGCCGCATGCTCTAATTTTAGAAAGAAAATTAATTTCGTACTTGTACAGGCCGCACCGGATTTTAATTCACTTGTAATAAAAGATATTTACACAAATATTACATGTGAGGATTTTTAAAGTTTCATTTAATCCGTAAGGTAACATAAACGTTATGGTAACATACAAAAATACATACTGCAAATGCTTTTTTTCCCTTGAACAGCGCCTGTAACACGGCTACCTTTAAGTCTACGTACGTATCAGTAACACACAAATTACGTTGCTTATGGTTTTTTTACGGAACAGTGCACAAACAACATTACAATGTCTCTTAACCGGTAAAAATACATACTACTTATCAATTTTATTGGTCTACTGTTACCAGGCAAAATGTTTTTGGCCGCATGAAAAAAAAAAAAAAAAAAATGCATTAGCCGCACGTCAGTATAAGCCGCAGTGTTCAGTGTGGGGAAAAGTAGCGGCTTATGACCCGAAAACTACGGTACATTTCCCACTTCTCGGTATAAAAAAAAAAAGCGTCTTACACGCTCAGGATGCGTTCGTTTACAGCAACAAAAATCTTTAATGTTTCAAAAAGATAAAATACAAACCAATTTTTTTCTGAAAACCTTTGACCTAAAAAGCCCAAATTTATTCATGACTAAAAATGATCAGTCACTGACTCAGTCTGTTTACAGATGCAGACATACCTGCATGAAAACTACACAAAGCAAACGAGTATAAAATGTGACACATCTGAAGAAAATAAGAGAATTTCCCGGTCACGGTGTTGCTCACAGCCCCATCACAGAGGGAAACACAGCAGCACCTGTGGAAGGAAGGAGAGTGCATTCAATCCATTCACAATGTCTCTCATTAACCCCTGTCATCTAAACTCACACGACGTCAAAATCAGTCTGCGTCTACTTCAGCGCAGTCTCGTACTTTTTGGGCTACCTTGACCATCTCCTGTGTCAGATTCCGGGACTTTCCAGTCCAGTTGGCGCCCTTTTTCATAGAGTCCCTTAAGGACCTTCCTCACTTCATCATTCCCACCGCCATGACTCAGCTCCAGGTACTTCCTGTACAGCTGCAGGGCAGTGCGTGCATCCTCTATGCTGTCATGGGTTTCCCCCTGGATGTTGAGGTCTGTGGACATCAAGAAGAAAACAATCAGAAATGACTTAAGGTAAACTGTTATCTTCAGATTTCAGAAGAGAATTACATTTATTGATAACAAGTGAAATAAAATGATTATCTTTATACATTTAAGTGTTTCAGCTTGAAATGTGTCTATAACCTTAATAGAAAGGTCTCCGGCACTCATACATCATCAGTGTACTGTAATCTGCTACCATCTGGGATTTTTTTTACACTGTATGTTGGAAGTTGTGATTTTATTTATTAATTAATTTATTTTTTGATTGGTTGGTTTAAGACTTCAAGATTTAAAGGAAAACCCACACATATTTGAATTAGTTAATTTAATTAAATAAAAAGTACAGGATTATTTTTTGAGGCATTCATCTGTATGTCTGAAGATCATTGAATGCAAAGACTTTAATGCTGTATATAGACGCGAGTTGCAGGTAAGGCTCATGGGCTTCTGTAGAAAATGCTACTGTCCAGCGGTCTGCTGGAGCGGGGGGGCTGGGACGAGTTGGCCGTCCGACTGCGGTCTGGAGTGTGGGGCCTCCCTGCTGCTGCGGAGTCGGGGCGGTCTGCCTCTCCCCACCGCAGGGAAAAGGGTAACACCACCTGGGTCTGGGTGCAGTTCCCCCCTCCAGGGGCAAGGGTACCTAGACCCGGTTCGTAGAGTACGCTTGGGGAGTGTGATCGTGTGTACAGCGTCTCTTTATGTCTGTCTCCACGTTGGTTGAGTGTGGAGTAAGTGGATATGAGAGCATGAGGGTGGGAATGGATGTTTGTGTCTGTGTGTGCCTGTATGTCTGTGTCTATGTCAGGTTGGGTATCAGACACCACCTCTCTGGGGACATCTCAGGCCCTCCAAGGTTTGGAGGCCTATCTCCACCCACCACCACTTCCCCTGCCAGTGGCGGACTCCCTCAGGTGTCGGTGCGTTGGTGGTTCTTTGTGTCTGGGGGTGGGCGTCCGGGTACACACCGGCTCACTCCTTGGCGGCCGCTTATCGGGGCCTGGAGCCTGGGGCTTGCTCGGGCCACTTCGGAGGTGGGGTGCCCCCGGCCTCTCGGCCTGGGGCTCGGTCACTCAGGCACAGCTGGCTGCCGGCGGAGCTCACGGGCGCGTCACTGCAACTCCCCCTGGCTTCTCCTCCGCGGCTGCTGAGTGAGCCCTCATCTGGGACTCTCCTCAGCTCTTACTGGAACAGTGGCGCGGCTGCCCCTCTGTTGGTCTTCCATGGTCTCTTGTATTCTGGGGGCCTCTGGATGTCTGGAGTTTTGATCTCCTCCATACCTGCTTCATACCCTGGAGGACGAGGCTGTGGCTCCCCACACTCCCTAGCAGATCGTTACATGGAGAAACCTTTGGAATGCAAGCATGCTGATCCACACAGGTATGCACACGGGTGTTCACAGACGTGGACTACAGCTTTCTTGGCTGCTGCCTCAAAGCACATTGTGCGCTGTCTATCTTGCGTGCTGCACAATATCGTTTATTATTTAGTATCTACTGATATCTACTGCTAGCTAGTTTATTGTGATGGTGCCCTTTTTTTGTTTTTTTTTATTATGTTGCTCTTTGTTGTTT